GAATGCTGGAAAGTAATCATTGTATGAATTGCCAGTCCCTTTTTAAAGCAATACCAAAAAATTCAATTTCATCTGCTTTTTGAACTACACTCCAATTACACTGTTCCTCCCCTGGGTTGACAGGGAATCTGAACTCTCCAGGGGCTTTGATGGAACCCAGAACAGGGAGAGGACTCAGACACGGTACAGGCAGGTGCTAATAGAGCCAGGAAGTGGAAGCTCGGACACATGTGCTGCCTTCTCTCAGGGAGGAAACAAGCACCCAAGTCCATTTACCACAGGTTTCAAATGTACAGGGTAGGGTACAGGGATGTACTTGCTGTGCTTAACACAGAATTACTACCTTGAGTACATCATATTTTAATATTCAGGGCATATTTGACTTTGCCATTTCTAAATATCATTCATCCATTTGTTCATTCACTCACTCTGTAAGTATGTCTTACATGTTTAAAATGTACAGGACAATATGTTTGATTTTTTGATATATGCCTGCTGGCCCTAACTGGATTGTGAACCCTTTCATAGCAGAGACACTGCACCTTATTTATCTTTCTATCCCAAGGCTCAAGGAGCTCTGGTGGTATAGTAGTTAAGGTATTTGATTGCTAACCAGAAGTTTGGTGGTTCAAACCCACCAGCTACTCCATGGAGATGAGGCAGTTGCTTCTGTAAAGATATTAAAACAACAACAACACTAAACTCACAGCCATCGAGTCAATTCTGACTCATAGCAACCCCTTTTGGGTTTCTGAGGTGGTAAATCTTTACGGAAGTAAATTGCCCAGTCTTCCTTCAGAGTGCCTGGTGGGTTTGAACTGCCAGCCTTCTGGTTAGCAGTGAAATGCCTTAAGCACAATGCCACCAGACCTTCTTTTTCTGTAAAGATATACAGCCTTGGAAACCCAGTGGCAGTCGCTGTGAGTCATAATCAACTTGATGGCAGAGTTTGGTTTTGATTTTATCCCAAGGCTGTAGAAGACACTCAACCAATGCAACACACGTGCATGGCATGAATGGAAAATGAGATGTAAGTAGCATGTGAGCTGTGCACGACCAATTTTAGAATGTTTGTTCCTATGTCTTGATCATCTTCAAACTAAGAATTTAAGTGGAATGTGAATGCAAATGTCATCTCTTTGAATACTGTATTTGGCAGAAGTGTCGTTTGACCTTCCATTTAGATTAAATATATAAATTATATGCTTATGTAAAAATAAGATAAGATCTACAACCTATATAAACTTTTCAGGAAGTCAAGGGTTTTGGTGAAAATAACAGTTTAAAATAGGATTTCTCTCAGCTTCAAATCCCCTTTCATATAGCAAAAGGAAATGAGCAAAGAAATCCAAACACACTGAAGCTTTCAGGGCCAAACATTTTGATTCAATATGTTCTGCTGTAAAATATTTGGCCTTGTTTGAATTTTTATTGCTGTATGTTCTCAGCCTATATTTAACTGTGAGAAACACAAATAAGAAAGAGAGAATGTGCAAAATGTTCTTTTCAAGTGCATGGCAGTGAATTTGAGAAAACATATATTAAAGGAACACTTTGTGTTTTGAACTTTCAGCCCCTTCTTTGAGACCTCCCTTGGCCAGATACTATGAAATATTTATTGAATGAAGGACTCTGCTTGCTTGGAGTGGAAACCCTTAAGGACCTCCTCTCAGGGCCACCTAAGATAAGCACCTTATTTTGTCATGCTTTCAAATAAAGTTTCTTTAATGCTCTGCCATTTTAATAGGTGAAATAAGATCTAATTAGAAAGGTTTATAATGAAGACATTCAATTTCCCAATCCCTTATTTGCTTAAATTAACTTTTTTTAAAATTGGGGTGTTCACTCTGGCATCAGCTCAATCCAGACTCTGTAATCAGCCAACAATCTGTGCCTCACAAAGGCTGGCGTCCTGAACTGCCAGATTCTTCCATCCATACAGTTCCCTTTTCCATGGGGTAATGCATTTTAATTGGTACCTCCCCACCAGTCCCTCTCATCTCCATCTGGTCAAATAAGCTCACTTTTTTGATTCAGCCTCAACATCTTGGCAGTTAACAAGAGGATAGACTTGCCACAATGGATAATCTTTAAGATGCACACAATCCCAAAATTAAAGGAATGAGTACAGATGGTATAATGAACGGCTTTCTCAAAATGGCTCATCTACAAAGTGGCTTTGTGTTCAAGTGTTTTAACACTACTCCCTTGGTCTAAACTGCAGATCCTGAGCAGCATCAGCATTGAAAACCCTGTGTTCTCTCAAGGAGCAAATTAGTAATGAAATATTTTGTCTCCAAGGACAATACAACATTTTGAAAGAGGCTAATTTTCAGCCTATTTCCACTGTTAAGATTAGGCCAGGTCTCTGGGTGGTGCAAATGGTTTGTGCTCAACTGCTAACTTTAAAGGGTTGAACTCATCCAGTGACTATGGAAGAAAGACCTGGGGATCTGGTTCTGTAAAGATTGTTGTTGTTGTTGTTGTTATGTGCCATCGAGTCGGCCCCTACTCATAGCGACCCCTCCTTGGGTTTCCAAGGCAGTATCACTACGGAAGTAGGATTGCCCAACCTTCCTTCCGAGGAGTGGCTGGTGGGTTTGAACCACCAGCCTTCTGGTTAGCAGTCAAGTGCTTTAGCCACTATGCTACCAGAGCTCCTAAGATTAGAGCCAAGAAGACTCCAAGCAGCAGTTTTTCTCTGTAACACATGGGATTGCCTTGAGTTGGAATCGATTCAACTTGATAGCAACAGGTTTTTTGATCAGGAAGTAGAATGGTGAAATAGTTAAGACTGTGGGCTCAGGAGTCAGGCTGGGTTCAAACCCTGCAGCTGTTCCTTATTACCTGGGTGATATTGGACAGTTACTAAACTCCTCGATGTCTGTTTCCCCATCAGTAAAACAGAGGTAATGTTAGTATTCACTTCATGAGATTATTGTGAAAATTAAATGACATAACATACCTGACATGATTAGCACAGGGCTTGGCTCATTTTTGCTCAAAATTACTATCTTTAGGCACAGTCAGTAGACCAAATTCCTTTGGCGGCAGAAAGGGAGGGGAAGACTGAGCCAGCCTTGAGGTTATTCCTCCAATAATCCCTTACTTTTTAAATGGTTTGTTCTTAACACTGTCCTACCAAGCAAAAGTGTAGCAGCAACTGAGATGACATGGTGAATTTGAGAGCAGTCTCATTTCTCTGAGACTTTGTGGTATACCTCAACAGAACGCTGCCTTTTTCAAATCCTGAGGGTCTTTGAGGTTGAAGTGAAGAATGCTTTCATGGCAAAATGACAAACACTGCTTTCTTGAAGTCTACATATCTGTACTGCATTGTTTCTTTTGCTCATTTCCCATTCTACATTTTCTTCCCCTGGCATATCTTACTCTTACTACCACTCGGGTGAGATACCATTCTCAGTGCAAAGCAGAGGAGATCAGGTCCACCTTAGGATGTTTGCGTGATTTAGGAGTCTACGGAAGGGGAAAGGCAACTAGAACATCAGGCTTCATGGATTCCTGTAAATCTGTGGGGCACAAACTGTTCTTAGCAGCAAATCGAGCCTCTCACCGGTTGCTTTTTCAGGGTTGTTACACATGAAGCACTGCCATGCTCCTGCTGCTTCGCTGAAGCCAAACACATCGAAGAATCTCACTTCTTCCAGATGGAGCTGTACCTGGTCCAGATCCTATGTCAGGAACACAGAGCACAAAGAACATAAGCTGATCTGCCTGCTCCATAGTATTCTGAGACGAGAAAAGGGAGTGGAATCAGGACAACTGATGCTTTATCTCAGTGCTAAAAACAAGAGGGAAGATAGAGAAAACCTTCTTGGCAAGCCTTGGAAAAGAACGATCATCACAAACGCTTTAATGGAGTCGGGAGGGCTCTTGAGTCCATAGGGAATGAACATGGTCTCTGGGCCTGGGTGTCAGTGGTAGGGAGTGAGTATTCAGAGCCTGAAGTGGCCCAGAATTTCCTTGCATCCAAGTGGCAACATGGTTGAAGGGGACACCGCTGGGGTACTTGTCTTTTTATGTATTTATACTTTACATAAAATTTGGAACCAATGATCTATATAAAAAATATTGTTATTTTTAGTATGTTGGCTTTGTAGTGGTCTGATGGAAAATATGGGGGAGGACTTAACCCCTTAGCCCTTGTCTCCAGCAGCGTTTTAATCTTATGCTTTATCCTAACATATAGATGTAAATTTTGCATTCTACTCCATAATATGGCTACATTGGTTTTAATGGGAAATAATGTCTTAAATTACTTATCAGTAAATTTTTTAACTTTTTTTTTCCTCCAATAGTTAAGTAGAATTGACACACCAAGAAGACGGCCAGGTTTTATGTGCCCTGTGGCATCTCGCCAATGTCCTGTTTAAGAGGCTTAGGAGAAAGGTTCCATTACACTGTAAATGGATAGAAAACTATTAGGCTAAGCAAATTAAATAGCTTTACTGTCCCCCTGGGGCTTTTCTGTTATGTACATGACTTGTATCCTGTGTTACAGGGTGGCCACAACTACACCCTTAAAAGGTTGCTTTTCTAAGAAGGTTTAATGTCCTTGCTAGCCTTGTACGTACACAACTCATGTATGTGTTCTTCTGTTGAGCTGTGATTTTTTTTCCCCTATCCTTTGGCCCACACACTTTATCTCCTACTTATAGTAGTAGTTCTTAACATCCCTAATTGCTGAGGAAGGTAGGTACCATTTTCACTGCTTACAATGAGTCTAAAATGAGGAATGGTCAAACGACTATGCAGATCCTGCTCCAAAGTTCCTGTTTTCTATGTCTACATTTCTTAGCAGAGGTGAGAAGCGTGGTAGACTAAAAGCTCATTGAGGGCAGAAACGTGCCTGTTTTGTTCACAACTGTATTCCAAAGTCTAATCAAGCATCCGGGATGGATTAATACTGCTGGTTTGAACTGTTTGGAAGATACTATAAAAATTCAGAGGAAATTATTTTTAGAGAACATTTTCACTTGCTGGAACATAAGCACACTGAGGTCAGGAAGGCTGTCTGTTGTATTGGCTGCCTGAAAGTGCCTGACGCATAAGCAAGCATTAAATAAATATTTGTGGAATAATGAAAGGTATACACTAGGACTAAACAAACAAACAAACAAAAAAAATCAGACAAACTCACTGCTGTCAAGTCATTCCCGACTCATAGCGACCTCTCCTTGGGTTTCTGAGGCGGTAACTCTATGGAAATAGATTGCTCAGTCTTCCTTCCGAGGAGTGGCTGGTGGGTTTGAACCGTCAGCCTTCTGGTGTAGCAATTCAAATGCCTTTAGGCACCACGTCAGCTACTTTATTAAGACCCTTATGGCTCATGCTTTGGGATTGGAAGATTCAGAGGCTCAGCACTCTGAATACAGCATTTTGAGTTGCTAACATTTAATATCATGTTACAGGCATTTCAATAGGCCCTGTATATGCAGGAATGCTGTTTTAGTAAAAGTGATTTAGAATGTGTTTAGTGTGAAAAACAGAGCCTGTCTTTTTTAAAAAACTACATTCCTCAAGATAAAAACTGAAGAAGCACCTGGGAGTTTTGCAGATTTCAAAGGATGAAATCTATATTAAAATTTATGGGGAAAAAAAGGCAGATGTTCATTAATATCAGTTTCAAAACTGCCAAATCTCTGAAGTCTGTACTTGGCCATTGGCATGCAGATCACTTTTATATTTCCCACACAATTAAAGATCAATTTTTCAGTCACCAAAAACACTACTAGCAAACAAAGTACCTAAAATAATGCTTAGGGGTTTCTTTAGTTTTTTCCTGTTCAGAGACCAAAATGTCCCAGGGTGTTGCCCGTAAGTCACATTTGTCGGCAAAAAGTTACTTGGAAAGTTTAAAACAGATGGTAAGTTACATCCCAGTGTTCAAGTTCTGAAGCCAAAGCAGGTTCACCTCTTCTGAGGATTTAGGTATTGTGCAAAGGGAACTGAATGTAGAAGATAGACAGTAGTTCTACGAAGTGCTTAAGATGGTAATAAGAGCCAAGTTGGTAATAAGAGCAGATGAAACATATGTAGTTCCAAATATTGGTTGTAAATCAAAGCAACATAAATCACAAAAGAAGCAAATACAAACTAACAACCAGTGATCCTTAAATTTTTGGAATTGTGACCTCTTAAATGTACTTGAGGTCAATATTTCTCTTTTCTGCTTATCTTTTCTTTACCCTCCTGAGTCTTGTAGGTTCCCCAGGATTTGCCCAAGAATTACTATGCAGTTTTTATTTTTTTTTTAAGACAAGAGAATGAAACCACAAACTTTCCTTGAGACAACTAGACACCAGAAGAGTCACAAAAATCATTCAGATCTAAGTGTAAGGAGAGTCACTCTCTGAGTGTTTCAATTTCAACGGGATAGTAGCAGACAGACTTTAGGGTAACTTCCAGTAATTCCCAACTTTTGGTGTTTGACCCTTTGTATAACTTCCTTCCCTTGAGTGTGGGAGGAACTTGTGACTGCTTCTAACCAAGAATAGAGCAGAGGCCATGGATGTCAACCCTATGATTATGTTCCTAAACACACACACACACACACACACACACAAAGAACCATCTTTCTAGCAGATAGATTTGAAGACACAAACTGCCATGTTGTGAACTGTCCCTGGAGAAGGTCACGTGGCAGGAAACCAGGAGTAACTCCGAGAACTTGAAGGCAGATTGCAACTTACAGCCAGTAGGAAAACAAGGCCCTTAGTCCTACAACCTCAAGGAAATTATATCTCTCAATAACCTGAGAAAGCCTGGAAGTAGACCCTCCCTGTTTGAACCTCCAATGAGAACATGTCTTAGCCAACACCTTGATTGCATCCTTGTGAGATCCTGGGCAGAGGACCCTGCTAAGCTATGCTGGACTCCTGACCCACTGAAACTGTGAGATACTAAATGTGTGTTACTTTTAGTTGCTAAATCAGTGGTAATTTGTTATTGGAAACTAGTAGAGAGATTGTGCTATGAAGAGAAAGGGAAGGTAACATCTTGTTGGCCAGATCTCAGTGAAAATCGTGATTCTACTTAAAGGAGTTACATCTCCCAATTGCACTCCAAATCAAGCCTCAATAAACCTCTAAGAATTTTGATGTTCAAAATATTTCTGTTGACTTAAAAAACCTACATGTAATCATAGCAAACATGCCCAAGCAAGGGTTTTTCTGATAAGCATTGTCTAATGCAAAAGGATAAAAGTCATTGGAAAACAAATGGTCTTTTAAACCAGTTGGTTAAATGACTGTTTCTCTAGTTTTAGAAGAAAAAAACATTGATAGGAGTAAGTATGTGGAAAACTATATAAAAATTCTCTTGCAAAGCCTCTTAGGGGTAAAACCAGCCAAGAGGCACAGAAAGATGAGAGGATATGGATTCTATAAAAGTGCAAAGTGACTTCTGGCTCTTATTAAGGTGGTCTATGTAGTATGAGAGGTGCTGTGAAGTAATTTTCCAGAAATCAGTGAAAGCACATACATCCAGAAGAACTTCGGGTTCTGGTACATTTAAACTCTGTTCTAACTCCATCTGTGGGTTAGTTACAGATACAGAGATAGGATTGCCTCATGTCCTCTGCGTGCCTCTGGTTAACAGAATCAGCTCGAGGCACATATTGCAATATTTCAACTATGTTTTAAGAAATGTAAGTGAGAATTTTTTTTTAAAACAATTCCCAATATTTTCACATAGCAGTTAGAACTTTATGTTTTTATGGCTATTACTAGTGCACATACTCTACCTCTGTGGAGTTCAGGGTGTGAAATAAACTTGCTGAAGAGAGAAAATTAACAATTTATGTCATTCTACATTGTATAGGCATAGTGTTTTGTAAGAATTACTGTACATTGGATGAATAAAGTAGCACAAGAGACTTTAAAGGATATCTATAATTTAATTTTTTATATTTTTGAATTTCTGAAAAATATTACTACTGAATTCAATTTGTAGCATCTACTATATGTCAGGACCCAGGGATAAAAAGATGAAAGAGATGAGGTCTTTGTATTCCAAGGAAGTGAGAAGGTAATTCATTGGGTCTACAGTATTCCTCACAAAGAAAAATTAGGATACCTCTTAATTTGTGTGTGATTATGATTGTTACTGAACTTCTTCTGCTGTGACTCTTTTGGCCTTCAACTGGATTGAAGCGCCTTAGCAAGAAGACTAACTTCTATATTATTCTGTAGCTTATGAAAATACTTAGTATAGCACTTTGCCCATAATAGATGTTCAATCAATTTTTAAAAAATGTTTACTAATTGAGGCACATAGGTCTTCTCTATAGTTTGTATCAATAGTAGGATTTAGGCATTCAATTTTCATGTCTATTCAACTATGACCATTGAGCCTTTACAGCATGTACTTATTTTAAAAACTATACCTACATCTCCATGGGTATTATAGTTACTCATTTTATCCAATTTTATTGAATAAAGTTTTTAGAATAATACCAGTAACAGAAGAAGAATGCTTGTTTGAATCCTTCAGTATGGCCTGTTGAGTGCTTATTGTCAAGACCCTTAGGTTTCCCAGATCAGCAGTTCTCAGGAAGAGCTGGCATCAGGAATCTCCAGGGCACTTCTTACAAACATCAGATCAGGTTCCTACCCTGAAAGCCTCACCCAGGGAGTTTGTGGTGGGGCTGGGCATCTGCATTTCTGGACAG